ACAGAGGTAACTGAACTGATCACAGACTTACCGTATTTTCCGCCGTACCCAACGCACCGCCCTATAAGTCAAATCAGTCCAAATATGTCTAAAAAAGTGGAAAAATCCATAAATATGTCGCTTCGCCGTATACGTCGCATCTATTATGTGTCACTGCTGACGCATCGCGTCTGTTACGTTACCACTGACAACCCGGAAATGTGGGCTGGTGTTGTGGCAAAAATCAACGGGCTGCCAAATGGTGGCCACGGGACTGTGCACAGGAGGACTTTAACAAGAATTTAACAAGATTAACACTTAAAAACAATCAATTGTTTGCTCAAAATTATAGTAAAGGTGTCTCAGTCTAACATTTGCTTAATAAAAGGACCTTAACAATCAAATCAACGGCTCTGGCTGCCTCGGTGCTCCGGGAGCGTGCAGAGGGAGGAAAAAGGAAGGAGGAACGCTGCTCGTTTCTTCAAAATTTAACAAGAAAAGCACCTAAAAACAATTATTTGTTTGCTCGAAATTATAGCAAAGGTGTGTCTCAGTTGAACTTTTACTTGATAAATGCACTTTAATGGTCAAATTAGCTGCATTACGCAAGTGTGGTGCAGCTGGTTTGACGGTTGCTCCAAGCAGCGAGCAGATCGAAGGTGGGAGGACTGTGGCAGGCCGATTGAGTCATTAATAGCTGGTGAAGATTCTCAGTCATCCAGGACATGGTAAATTAAAAACAGTTCAAGACAAAAACAATAAAGTATAAAGTAAAACATAATCAATAAAGTCCAGTTGTTTTTGTCTTGAACTTTTTTGAATTTGTCATTATAGCCACGTTTACCTATTACATGATACAACGGCATACCATACAATATTACTACTCTGCTACCATCTAGTGGCTGAAAATGTCACTGTTCATTTTTTTTTTCAGTTAAAATGAATGAAAACGGTCATATTTCAGCCAAACATTGATTTATAAATATGGGGAAAAATCCATAAATGCGTTGCTTCGGCCTGTAAGTCGCAGGGCATGTAACTTACGCAAAAAAAACGCGACTTATAGGTTGAAAAATACGGTATTACACACAGAAATTAAAATTAACAAAAAAAAAAAAAAAACTAACCTCTGAATATATTTGATGATAGTGTCTGTGCTTTGAAGATAGAACAGATGTTTGTGTTTCCTGCATTAGGAAGTAAAATGTGTAAAACCTGTTCATTATTCTTTGTTTTCTGCAGCAAACAGCTCAGAAACTCCACACCTTCACTCAACAAGGAAACAACCTACTAAAATACCTTCAAAATCACCTGGTGAAAGTACCGGTAGTAGTGTTGGATTCCAGAAGTGCCTGATTTATGAATGACAATTTTTTGTTGTTGTTTTTTTCATATTACTTATGGTAACACTTGATTGCAAAAGTCTTTAAATCATAGCACATTTTCTCATTTCTCATGACAGCTTACTACTCTGATTTAAAAAAGGGCAATGACAGAAGCAAGAGGCCTGGACAGTGTGGTCCATCACAAAAACCTTCTTCACAAAAAGGTATTTATTTTTATTAATATGTGACTTCTGGAGGCTACAAAACGAGTACACATTTAAATTATATATAATCAATATGTCCACCAGATGGCAGTACTGCCATGGCTCTGGGTTCATCTGCCAGTCGTTTCCCTCAACAGAGAGCCCCTCTGCCTACAAATGTGTCCAACAGGTAAAACTTTCTGAAAATGTCTAACAAGTTTGGGTCGTTGTAAATATTTTTCTGTTCGTTAATTTTGCTTTATTTTTTCAGATCATATCCAGTTCCTCCCGTGCCATCACAACCTCCTAAGTTCAACAAAGCAATACCAGAACCCAAAAAGGTGAAAATTAAAATATGTGACGTTAAAACGATGCCACAGTCTGCCCACCTTCTTATATAAGAACACTAAGTTAAACTACTGTTAGTTGTACACCAAGAGCACATGCAGATTCAAAACAGCAGATGGCGAAGTTGTTAAAAAAATATCAGGAAGTCCTGCAGTTTGTTCAAGAAGTTGCTTTTTATTAACAAGTCTGAAACCTGTAATTATGTGCTACATTTGTCAGCTGTACTTATTTAGGAACCACCTCAGCTACCGCAACATAACAAGGAGGAAAAAGAAATACATTTCTTTAAGTCTCTTACTTTAACGTTTCTATTTTGGTGGTCAGTGTTTGGATCCCAGCTGGTATGGAGGAAATGTGGCTCGACATGAAGCCGAAGCTGCTCTCAGAGCGGTGAACAAGGTTAGACCATGCATCTTCTCTTTCTGGATTCAAAATGGAAATAGAAATAAAAATAAATAAACACTGAATTATTTACATTTTAACAGATACATAGTGTTACATGTCAACCAAAGGAAAAACATACTGTATTACAACACTGGCCTGGTAGCCAAAGACTTAATGTGCGAGCAGTTGATATTTTACAGATTCCTACAGGAGTTGTGTGATTGGTGTGTTTCTATGATTTTCCATGTCGAAGGATGGAGCGTTCATCGTGAGGGACAGCTCAAAGGCCTCAGCTGAGCACCCCTACACTCTGATGCTGCTGAATAAAGGCAAGGTTTACAACATTAGGATCCGTCGCCACGGCAACTCCTACTTGCTTGGCAATGGCTTTAACAGCACTAAGGTAAACTAAAACTGGCAATACGCTTCAAATAAACAAATCAACAACGACAAAATATTCAGTGTGCTCGCTCAGATGAAACTGAAAAGTTCACATGTTGCGGCACACCTCGGGGAATGTTTGATGCCGACTTGTGGTGCGCTGCGTCATTAGGTCCTTGTCATCTTTAATGCGTGCTGTTGTTTTTGTAGAGTTTCCCCGGGGTAACGGAGGTGATTATCCATCACATGAACACTCCGCTGGTGCTCATCGATGCCGCAGACCAGAGCTCTGCAGAAAAGCCCAAGTGTTGCCTGCTGCATCCTGCAGGACTCTGAGCAGCAGCAGAGCCTAACATGGGTGTTAACATCTGCTCCTCCATGATAATCTGTGCACACACACACACACACACACACACACACACACACACGTGGCTCTTTTAAGGGAGCTTTTTAAGAACCTCTAAACAAATGTCATAATTTCCACAATCGGAAAAAGGTCATGGTTATGCAATTCCTCTCACTGCTGCTTTCACTATTTTTAGTAAAAACGAGACAAAAAAGAATAATTTTCCTGTGGCTGATGTTTGAAATATCTTTCTACGGGGTGCAGACTCGCCGCGTTACCTTCTGCGCTCGTGCTCCAGTTTCGGTTTAAGTTCGAGGCTGCTGCTTCACTGCTTCCGGGAGTTTTTTGAGCAACGCCAGCTTGTCAGGGTGGCCAACACACAGGATCAGATCGCATTGCTTCAAATGGGTTTGCACTGCCAGCAGTAAGAGAAAATTGGTTGTTACATAATCGCCTCAGAGCTCCAGCAACTGTTATTAGACACAAAAATCAAACACCCCTTAGTGCACAACAAGTCATAGTATACACCACATCCCTTTAGTTTCAAACATGTTGTTTTTAATAATGCTGTGACTCAAATTGACTGGATTTTATATGAATTATGACATCATGTCGACTTTAACTTTGTCAGAAAGACTTAGTTTGTTTCTTAGACAAAGCTAAGATCAGCTTATATTAAAACAGAACTGTGGTATAGCTGCTTTTGTTAACAAATTATATGCAATATCTTTTAATATCTCTTGTGATCTTTTAAACTTCAGTGATCTGTGAAATATTTTGATAGCAGTACGGACAAATGGTAAATGGACGGTACTTACAGAGCACCTTTCTATCTTTTAAGATACTTAAAACTCTTTACACTACAATCTGTGCCCTCATTTACCCATTCATACAGCACTCTACTAGATCTGTACGAAGAATAATCAGAGCTTTATCACATTCATGCACCGATGGGACACACATCGGAGATAATGAGGGGTTCAGTATCTTTCCCAGGGACACTGGTTGAATCAAACCAACTCTCCCAGTGGAGGACGACTGCTCGAACCACTCAGCCACAGCTGCCCAAACTACCACACACATACATTAAAACATTATCGCCTTTTCGACTTTGGCAGCAGGTGATAATAAATGTTTCTGTAAATATGAGGTTAAAATTCAATTTCACAAAGTGCATGCGTATCCTGATAACAAGGTTAAGTCAGGTGCTGAGAAGAGTTAGAATCTGTCCACAGGACCTGACTTGACCTTGTTAGAGTAGGCACACGTGCATTTACAGATTAGCATGAATGTTTAAAGTGTGAAAGTTTGAAAAATTATGCATACGCAAAAACTTAAGATGCAAATTTGTCTCAATCACAAATCCTACCATCGAATAAGTTTAAATAAAATATCAAAAGGTGAGACAGCAAACCAATATAAGTTTAACATGATGGCAGCTTACTCTGATGCCTTCTTTACCCACAACTGTCCCCTGTGGCAGAATAAAGGTTGCAACAACCTGACTCACATCAGAAGCACTGATAATCTGTGCCAAAGCCTTCAGTTATTCCTAAATAACTTTCAGCAGTCATATTCTGACAGACATTGCATAGCACCATGTAAATTTAGACTGCTGACGTACAAAGCTGCGCTGCGTTTGTGCCATAAATCCACTTTTTATCTATCACGTTTCAAATCTGTGAGAGCAGTTGATGCCTTCAAAACATCTCGGACAGACATACGGGAGTCAAACGCACAAGCCAGATGATCCATGCTGCTGGACAAGGAGTCCAGCCCTCTCAGGATGTTTCCCAGATCCATGCAGGAGGTGGTGGCAGCGAGTTCTGTGACCTTCTCTGTGTTTTCCATCTGAAACATAATTACACAGAACAAAAGGTCTGTGCCAGAAGTCATTATAAACAACTGGAAATAAAACTGAGACAGCATCTGTTGTGAATTGTGCTTGTATAATTTGATCTGGTGTGTGTCTACAAAAAAACATACGGCACACCTTTTTAATTTTAACATCTTTATTCAACTTGGAGAGCCGTTTAAACAATAAAAACAAACAACTTGTGAACATGAGCGCTTTTCATCAGTAAACATGGAAACACTGTTTTCAAGGAGACACAGCAGCTTGAATCATTAACGTATTAACTTGAACAAGGAGGACTTCAATGTCTGGGCCAAGCTCTGAGAATTAACCGAGTGTTGTGGCAGAAAGCTCAGCAGAGTCCAGCTCTGGCTCCAGGTTCGGGTCTCCGCACACCGCAGCTCTGCACCTTTGAAACGCCTCCCGCAGCTCCCGCATGGAGGCTTCCACCGCGGGACTGGTCCGCAGAGTCACCATGCCATAAACCATACAGGTCAGCTGCACTACAAGAGGACAACAGACTAATGTTTAATACCTTTACTAATGATGTGATGCTGCAACTATATCCCGCAGCTGAATTCAACATGGCTACCTGTCATGTTCTCCACATTTTCTATCATCCTCTCCAAATCCTTGTTCATCTCCAACATGTCGCTGCTCGGCGGAAGCTCGGCGGTTGAAGACGACTCTGCCATCTAATTACAAACGGGTAACTACATTAACCTGTCTAAATAATGGTTGAATTAACTAGTATCACGTCTTTATCAAATCACTCACGTTTACTAATGTGACATTAACAAGCCTCCCTCTTTCACCTGTAAAGGTCACGAAGTAGCGTTAGCATTAGCATGCTAGCTGCGTCAGAAGAAACAGACTGTTTGACGGTTTGACAAGAAGAAGAAACAAAACATTAATTTATTCACTGGTTTAAAATGTGCTACCATGGCGGCAGTGGTGAGGAGGAAGCATGTTTGCGTCGTTAAGTTGTTATTTTACTCAATTCGTGTGTAAAATTTAGCAATGGCTAATCACTCACCGTCAGTTGGTTCCGCGCTGAGCAGTTAATGCACGCGCCGGTTCAGAGCAGCGCGTGAGTCAGTCTTTGATGAAGCCCGCCACACTGCTGATAATGCTTTCCTGTGTGTCTGTGTGACTGTTAGTAAAATATCTCATGACTCACTGGATGGATTTTTTTGAAACGTCCAAGAAATAGTCATTGGATGAACATCTGTAACGTTATTAACTTTTAAAGTCAGCACAGCCAGCTGACATAAAAAAAAAAATTTTAAAAAAAGATATTGTTCAGCCATGTTAAAATATATTGAGCTAACAACAAAGTCCATGCTCAATAATCCAGGTATAAAATCCAACATTTTTCAGTCAGGTCATCTGGATAGTTTCTTTTTTTTTGTGCTGAAACGTTTCGCCTTCGATCCAGAAGGTTTCATCAGTCAAGGAAACACACAACAAAACTGATTCTTCCCCCAACAGCTTACTCCAAAGTGGAACAAACCAGTTCTGCTTGTGATAAGATGGTCTCTTTGGTACGCCCCTCCTCCATTGCCGGCCCTCTTCCTTGTTGACAGTCTTGTCAAACTGGTTGATAACAAACAAGAAACTGTCCAGATGACATGACTGAAAAATGTTGGATTTTATACCTGGATTATTGAGCATGGACTTGTTGTTTTCAACCAGTTTGACAAGACTGTTAACAAGGAAGAGGGCCGGCAATGGAGGAGGAGCGTACCAAAGAGACCATCTTAGCACAAGCAGAACTGGTTTGTTCCCCTTTGGAGTAAGCTGTTAGGGGAAGAATCAGTTTTGTTGTGTGTTTCCTTGACTGATGAAGCCTTCTGGATCGAAGGCAAAATGTTTCAGCACAAAAAAAGAAACTGTCCAGATGACCTGACTGAAAAATGTTGGATATTGAGCTAAATTTTGGTGTGGTAGTAATTAAGACTGATTCAATGTTTGAGCACTAATTAATCGCTGGACATCTTTATTCAAAATTTAGTCAATAACCAACTTTGTGTTTCTGTTAGCAAAATATCTCCTCAACTACTATGCAGATTTTAAGCAAAATCCCAGGAATTAGGGAAGAAAAGGTTGAGATGTCATCATTGTATAATGTTCCCATATATGAAATTAGTTATTTGCATTTAACCCATTATACCGGAGATACACCCAGGTGGAGCAGTGGGCAGCTATGTGAGCACCCCGGGGATTGTTATGCAATTAGGGATTGGGTGTCTTGCTCAGTGACACCACGAGATAAAGGAATGGCTGGGAGTCAAACTGGGACTTTCTGGTCCCAGGTTGGCTGCACTGCCTATACCCCATCTCGGCCCCCAAATAAAGAATAATAAAAAATAGCAAAAAACAATCAGTTGATGTATAATTACAACTGATCACTTGTTACTGATAACATTTAGATGACACTTCAAGGAAAAAAAAAAAATCCTTCGAGTCAGTTTTCTAGATTTTTAGCTAAAATTTGATGTGGTTTTAGCTGAGAGGGTCACAGCATAGTCTGAGTGATACTCATTACACACAAAGACATTTACTTAAATCTCTGGTATTGGCCTCAACTATGTTTTTCTGTTAGCAAAAAAATCTCATGAAGCACAGGGCAGATATTAATGAGAAAATGTCATTAAAAAGTGTTTTATTTTTATTTTAGCCAGGCACTGCCCAAGGAGCTAAAAGTCACTGCGACAGCTTCAGGGGTCGGTGAGGACAGCAGCTGACGAGAAGGTGTGGGGACAATTGGCATCCTTACACTTTAAGCCGAAAACGTGAGTCTCGCAATGAGAAAAGCAACGTTTCTAACAAAAAATGTTACTGAGCAAATTTGTTGTTTTCTTTGCACAAGAATAAATGAAAGGGACATCAGACATGTCAGGATGGGGGAAACAGATGAACTGAAAAGTGTCACAAAGAAACTTTGTTTGAACGATCAGCTCTAAGAAGTGTTTTGTGGATCTTTGAGACGTCATCTCCTGAACACTTACACGCAGCTATCTTTTAAAGAGTACCTCTTTTCTGAAAAACAGAACAGAGATAAATAAAGTATTACGGTTCAACAAAATATGTTTAAACACATTATAATATTGTGCATAATTTCAATATAATGATTGCAAACAATAATCAACATTATTTATATTCCCGCCTGTCTTGATCAAATAAAACAAACTTCAATGATGATTTTGCTTATATTTTTTTCTTTCTTAAAAGCATAAAAGAGAAGAGCAAACATTAGTCAGCCAGCTGATTCTTAAATCCAAGGACGACGTGTTCAGTGTGTGAAAACGTCAGACACGATTCAAGTCAAATGTGAATTTAAAGAAAATAGTTCATGGTGAGTCTGTGGGAAAGGTGAAACACCCACACCTGCCTCCACCCTCATTTCCTTCACACTAGCCCGTTGCGCCAGGCCCTTAACCCCGACCCTCTTCTCCCGCTGATGCTGTGGCAGCTCTCTGCTCCACACAGAGAGCTGTGGTAGCTCAGTGGTCTGTGGTTGTGTCAGGAAAGGAATCCGGCATAAAAGCAATTGCCAAGTCTGTTTGCTGTCGACCCCTCAGCAAGGGAGCAGCTGAAAAAAGAAGAACAAATTAAACAAATGCTGCTATATATTTTTCTATCTATCTATCTATCTATCTATCTATCTATCTATCTATCTATCTATCTATCTATCTATCTATCTATCTATCTATCTATCTATCTATCTATCTATCTATCTATCTATCTATCTATCTATCTATCTATCTATCTATCTATCA